CTCCACAAACTAGGAGGAGGCTGTTGTACCATTGACTGTTTAAAAACAGTACGAGGATATGATGTGTCTGTGCCAAACTGCCTCTGCCCTGGATCGGATTGCAGCTCTGATGAATAACTACCGTCGTTGCCTGCTTCTCTGTACATGAGGGTATCTGCTGGTGTAGAACAGTTACATGGAGAACTATTTACTTACCTCCCACACACACACACACACACACATTCCTCTCACACAAGTGGAAAGGAAGGTCACTCATATTTCCCTCACAGAAGGCTGGCACACTTGTGTTTACATTGCAGTCCTTACACCCCCATCACTATAGCAACTCATTTTCTTATTTTGTCTGACTACGTGGGTGTTTTTCAGTCATTTGTTGTGTGTAATGTGCCGAAATAAAACAATGCTTGTGTAGATGTAAACGATGAAGCCGAGGAAGATGATAAAAGCTGCAAATTCTCTCAGTTTGTCATCCCGAGGTGCAGCTGTGTTGTGCAGTTTTGCTTTTCTGGTCGTACCAAATGGGGTGAGATGAGCTGGCTGCAGTGATTTGCATTTCCTGGCAGTACTAGGTCAGCTGGACTTGATTTGGATGTGTCATCTGAAGATGTTTGATCATTTCACACACCCAACACCAGGCTGTAAATTAATCATTCTCCATGACGTATGTAGGCGGGCTCAACTTCTGTCATTATTATTCAGTTTAAAAAAACAAAAACTAGAACATACAAAAAAACAAAGTGCTTTTACAGTCAAAATTGCAGTCATTCATTGCAGACTAATAATAACTGGACAACATGAATTGAAGTCGACTCCTGCGTATCTTTTTATTTATTTCAGTAAAGTGTGTTTGTTTTTGTTTTGGGTTTTTTTGGTAAGGCTGTGAGATTTAGGTTGAGACCACAGCGTGGGTCTGACACAGCCATTAAGAGTGGAAAAAGCCAGATATTCAGCAGTGGACATGTCTGTACCTGGGGTAGTGTGGAGGAGGTGTTTCAGCACAGGCAGGGCTGGATATTTGAGTGGATGAACAGTGAGCCTGTTGAGTGCGAGCAGAATCACCCACATTTTTCCACATAATCACTAAAGATACTTTTTCTAAATTAAAAACGTTTCTAAAATAATTTACAGCTGTGAGCAGAAACTGAAGAGGAAATTACTCTTGATGTCCAACATTTATATATTGTGTTAAAAAGCTGATTCTAGGATGTAAAATAAAGTCAATGAAAGCACTAAATTTGTTGGAAATGTGATGGCAGTGAAGTTTAGATTTTGTTTTCTAAATGTGTCCCACATTCAAAACATCACATCTGCTTTCTGCTTTGGAAATTCTGGTCTCTGCACACTTGCACAAGAAAAAATAAGTCAAAGTGGGCAGACTAAACAAAAATCCAGCCAACATGTTTTTACTAGTTAGTACAAATAAGTGGTGTCAAACCCTGCATAGAAAAGTGCTGATACACAAACCCTCTTCATGCCAAAGGGTGTGCTAGTGTTTGTTTTTCCCTTTCAACATCTAATCTCACACACACGGTGTTCATGTGCTGTGGTCCTGTCTTTGTTTATGGCCGCTAGAGTTGCATGGTACATAAAAATATTCCAACACCTTTGGTCAGGGCGTCTGTCAGTGTCTGTAGCCAAAGATTAGGATTGGGTTTTCTGCTTAGCCACATGCGAAGTACGACAATGAAGTGTCGCAGACTAATTTTGGAGTAAGAGTTTTGAAAAGGCTTGCAAATGTTTTTCCAATATAGTAACTGATAAGCGTATTTATTATTTTTCCCTGAGCCTGGATCTGCTGGAGGTTTCTTCCTGTTAAAAGGGATTTTTTTCCTTCCCACTGTCACCAAAGTTCTTGCTCATAGGGGGTCATATGATTGTTGGGTTTTTCTCTGTATGTGTTATTGTAGGGTCTATCGTACAATGTAAAGCACCTTGAGGCGACTCTAGTTGTGATTTGGCGCTGTATAAATAAAATTGAATTGAATTATTTTATTATTATCTATATTTTAATCACACATGTTTGTGTAATGAGCCTTTACCTTAGTGAGGGATCTCTCTGCTAAGGTTGACCATATGAAAGTAGCTAGCTAAGCTTTGCATGTTAACTCCCTGCTCCTTCTCTAAATCTAGCTTTAACTTTAGATCCTCCATACCCGGCATGCAAGACAGCTTCCTAATTTCCTGAAAATGTTTTGTCTTTATCACATTCCAGATATGGTTTGGTTGAAAGCACTTAAACCGGTTGGGTTTCTATTAGTGGTGCAACGGATCAAAAATCTCACGGTTTGGATCGGATCACGGTTTTAAGTCACAGATCGGATCCATTTTCGGATCAGCAAAAAAAGGAAAAAAGAAAATTTTAACATTTACTTATTCACTTATTTAAGTAATTTTTGCCTATTTAAAACATTCAACTCAAGACTCATTCTACGGAATTGTATAAAAACAAATTAAGGTGCAGTACAGGGCTTTGTATCTACCACTCCGCTGTGATATAACGAGCGGTCACGTAGCTTTCCGTTGACCTGGAGCTCCACCCATTTTTAGTTGGGCAACAGAAGATTCCTGGGACAGTTCAGCCATAACTTTAAACTTTTCCTGCTCATACGCGCTTGGGTACAATCTTGTCACGGAAGTGGATGTGCAACGGGATATCATAGCGTGGCTCCAGCACGTTCATCATAGTTTAAACCCCTTGTTTTGCACAACAGAATACAGCCTCATGTCTGCAGCTAAACACCCCTTTAGCCGGTCGGACTGGGCAGCAAAGGGCTGCTTAAATACTGCAAACTTCTCTGCTCCTCCACTTGGACCGCTAGTGCTGACCATAACTATCACAGACTGACCACGCGCACCATACACATACTTTTTTTCCTTCTTTTTCGAATCTTCGGATCACGTGCGTGCCGAACCGTGGAGTGGGATCTGTTTGGATTACGGATCAACCGTGATCCGCTGCACCACTAGTTTCCGTATTGCTGTAGTAGTTCTTGTGTAAAAGGAAATGTGCTACACTTATCTTTCCATTTTAGGGTGTGCTTAGTGTTTTACAATACTTTTAATTCAAACCTAGCATTTCCTGCCGATTCGACTTAACATGAAAAACTTTTCGCTTGCAAACCACAGGAAGGAAGTGGCATTTGTCACAGAGGTTTGAGCGGGTTTGATTCACACAGCAATGTTTCTTTATTTTTTATCTGCCGTTTTCATTTGTAAATAATAGTTAAAGTAACGGTTAAAGGTTTTTTGGTCAGTTGTTTTTAAAAATTGTAAGGTACCTTTTTCATAAATCCTTATTTGGGATTATACGTGACTTTTTGGTGAATGAACATGTGGTCTTTTTGTGGAATAGGTTTTATTGTTGTCTTCTAAAGATGGTTATTAGAAGTTAATATAAGCTACAGCATCGTGCTGGTATGTGACATATGTGGTTCTTCAGGCTGCACTTGTTGAACATGCTTGGCCCAGTAAGCACAGAAGCTTAGAGCTGCATATGGAAGAAACTGATTATATCAAGTGTTATTTTGTGCGATATTGGTTATAGCTTTAATATTGATTACATCGACTACAGTCTGCACAGTCTCCACAAAACATTGACTTAAGGCAATTAAAGGGGAAAAAACCTTGATTCCAGGTACGGCTGCCACATTTAGTCGACTATTAAAATCGTCGACGACTGATTTAATAGTCGACG